ATTGATGTACTAGTTCGGGATAAAAATCAGTTGGATAATCAATAAATAAGCTCATTAGAGGTTCATCGTATTAATGGAAGCATAAAAAGTTTTGGCAAGAATTTCGATTGGTGTAACTCTGTGAAAGCATAACAGAAATTCAGTATAACTCAAACTTGAAAACTTGTAGGCTCCGTACTAATTTTAAAAACATTATCCAAAGAAGCACATTGACTGAGCTCGGTTTATATGTTAGAATCTTTGCCAACTGATCAACATGGACCCGGACTGCTCCAWATAAACTGTGCGCGCATATGAATAAATAAAAAATATGCCTAGAAAACCTTGGGAAAACCTTTTTGTTTCCATGTTTGCAACTGTTTGTTTACGACTTCTAAGGTTTGTCGACTTTTATCGCACGAAAAAATTGAGCGAGTTCGCTTGTAATTTTCTGTTTTCAACGGAATCTCGGCTACGGAATAGATATTGCAGAAGTGTTTTGGGAAGTATGTTCTATCAGGAACACAAGTATTTGAGGTGCACTAAGCATTCAGTGAAGGTCGTGAAACATCGAAAATTTGCCAAATGGAAGTCGTCTATCCAACTCTGTTAGTTAATGAGGATAACATAAAAAAGTTAAAGAAATAATACTTGAAAATCGTCACGTTTCCGTCAGAGAGACAGCATAAGAATTCAAAATCTCTAACTGAACGGCTTAACACATTTGGACATTCCAGCCGAGGCTTGTAACAAAAATATAGAAAGTTTAATTAAGCTTTGGTATGCTTGCTTTGGCTCAGGAGCCTATTAAAATATGTGAAAATTCGAAATTGGAACTAARCTAAAACATATTTCAGATTCATAAATATATTTAGGCGACCCCAAGCTCCTTCAACATTTCTTCAACATTCGTGGGGTTAACCCCAACGACGCTCGACGTTTTAGTACTTTAGTATTATACCGTTCCAAACTCTCCCACCGCATCAGGGCCATTTATCAACATTTGAGAAGAAAGCTTTTGTTGCTTCTGTATCTCCCTGTACTACAGTAATGCACCTGCACAGTTGCAAATTAAACGAGTGCTTCAATTGGGTTAAACGCATAAGTATGTAATCTTCTAGTCTACAACCGCGTCTTAAGCAATCAATCAGCCAAGCTTTAAGAGGCGAAACAAAAGAGTGTTTAACGTTGTTGTGAGAAATTTAATATTTACCCGWCGTGGTGCAATTGCCGCTGTCACAATTTAGGTTAATTTCGATGCACCAAAACAGATGAATGAAAACAAGAGGCACCAAGAAATATGAGCCGAGACGCCACAACGACAGTGCAGTCAGTGCTCTTATTAGAGAGGTAAATATGCTTATAAGTGAAAATTTGTTTGTAATGGCTGATGTAATGGGATTACTCCGCGTATATATGTATGTTTATGCGGGGTACTTTAGTCTGAATTTGGCAACAATTACTGCACTTGCAGGGGAAAACTGCTGACGATTTCTTGCACTGCACCCAATTCATTGCAATATAGCAAAGCTAGTTATTGTTCAGTTCATTTACAACAACAACAAAGCCGTCATGTAATTGTATGGGAAACAGGAAATTATTAAAGGTATATAAGTTTGGAAAATTAAATAAAAATAATGTGTGAAACCACATACTCGGAGGGTCTGTGGTATTTTTGTGACTGTGCGTATGTATAATGACATTATGAAATGGCAAGTGACTAATTTAATCAATGTTTAGTATGTCAATTGCTTCTGAGAATATGCTATTATATAAATTTTTGCTGAAATCATYAGAAAAATCTCCCATAAACCAAATAATTATAATCATTATTCGCCCAAATGAAAGCCCGCATACACACAGAATAATAATTATAATAGAAGAAAGATACATGCAAAAACGATAGGTAAGGTTATAAACGAAATTGCAGTAGCTCGATTATTGCATGTAACAATAGTTGAAAGCACTGCGAAGCGTCATATGGTAGTTTTTTATATGTATGCGCTCTTTAATACATACTTATAATAGGGTAATCCTTAAATATTAAGCTCTTCGAAAAACATAAACAAAAAACTAGATGAAATCAATAAATGTATTTTTAAAGAAATATTAATTAAAYATTTTTGCTATTATTCAAACAACAGAAACATTTTTATTTTATTTTTTTACATTATTACTAAAGGGGTTTTCAATAGGTACGCTACAAAGGTAGACCGATAGCGACACTTTTCTTTAGTAAGGTTTGCCATTTTATCATGTAAAGATATACGATCCAACAACGAATCAAAACTATTAAAATTTATTACCGAAATTCGGAGTCAGTGGCCCGAACCTAAAGAGCACTACATCCTATTTATGGTCGTCGTAATCGTCCTGTCAGATCAGCAGCGTATAGTGGAAAATTTTGAATCCAAAGGCATAGTACAAAATATTCCCGTGCTAGTGAGGCAAAGAAGTGATTATAGTATCGGCGATATTGCTGCCGCTAACGTATCAATTGAGGAAGATCCAAATCAGTMTCTCACATGTCGTTTTCAAGCGTTGGGCATCTTAGTGACGAATTTGGGAAAAAKATCTCGTCCTCCATTCTTACAATGTGAAATTGACGTAAGAACTGAAGCCGCTTGAACACCGGAATCGTCGATGTTCATGAATTGGACTGAGCAACATTATCCGGATTTTCATCGAAAAATAATCTTGACCGATGAGGCTCATTTCTGGCTGAACGGCTTAGTAAATAAACACAATATGCTTTAATCCAAACGTACTCCATGAGTCACCATTGCATCCCAAAAAAATTACGRTTTGGTGCTGTTTATAGGCACGCAGCGTACTTCTTTCGTTATGATCAAGACCGGCATGGGACTGTGAATGGGAATCGCTACCGCTCCTCAAGCCACACAGCGAATTTCACAATCGATTTATTCAAAACCAAGTTTGGTGAAGCCGATTTATGCTTGAAACCCGTCGGAAAATGGATTCAGCTTCTGGACTTCTGCAAGCGTGCCTGTGGCAGACATGCAAAAGAAATCGAGTTCCATACATAATCCAATTTGTTCAATAAGGTTTGTGTCGTTTAAGTTTTTTTCATTTGTCAATCCCATATTTGGCATTAAAAAATTAAAACAAATTTAATTCAAATGTTAATTCAATTATTTTTAATGGATTATTTGCAACCATGCTTCTCATAAAATAGAATTAATTTTGTGTAGTTTTCGATTATGTTTTACAAATCTTAATTCTGTCTACAAATAAGTACAACCCTAATACCAATGCATTCACATATTTACACTTTGTAAACTAGAGATGTTGGCGCAGTGCTTCTAAGCTCTCCGATGCGGCTGCCGCCACTTTTATAGCTTCCACTGTGTACCATCCGCATTACATGACTCAAACACTCTGTATATACATACATATATGCATATGTACATTCATGGGGTACATGAATGCAGCTCTGTATTACCCGCTATCAGCTTTTGGAGGAAGTGTTGTGATAAATTCCCACTCATGCGCAGAAACTTATGCAAATGCGATGATGACACACACGCACACACAAAAGCGTGCCTGATGCAGTGCGCGCTTTTCCTCAACACATACATACAATGTACGAGCATTTATGTATGTACATATGTATCTGTGTACATGCATTCAAGTAATTTTTTCATCATTTTGCTTGTTACTTTCGTATTAATTTTTCTACAATTGCTTATTCCAGAAGATAAGACTTTTTTTGAAGCGAAATGTTGATTAAACACGTGTCTAGAAATGTGAATAGGTATATATGAATTTGTACATATGCATTAGGGTGGTTCATTTTAGGTGTAACATTGGCGTAACAAATAACTGTCGTTAACACCTTCGCTGGGGGCTCCACCGAGCTGCTACTCCAATAAGTGGTGTCTACGTGCATATAGTACATATGTATAAATGTATGAGTATGCGGCAACGGTATAAACATTTTCAAATGACTATGATTCCTTACAAATTTTCATTTAAAATTAATAAATTACATACATACCATATATGTACATATAGTGCATATAGAAATATTTTTGTCCAAACTTTTCGAAGTCTAAAACATTTTTTCATGTTTGCAAAGAAAACGACAGCAATAAAACGAAATATTGCTTTTGATTTCACTTTTTACGACGGGTAACAAAAACAACATTAACGGATGTGGCAATCCACAATACAACATATGTCTGGACACATGTTTTTATACACGGTTGCAATAACAGCTGTGGCACATTATTACGCGTGACCGTTATTATTATTGCACAATTTGGACTATGAAAAAAAAAATTAAACCAAACAGGTTTCCTATTAATTTTATTACAGAAAAGGTTCGGTATCTAAAGAAAGAGGTGCTGTTCCAAGTGTTAATGCTCACCATACGACTTACTAATTGCACTTATGATAACCGGAAGTTATCAAAAATCTTCAAAATTATTTAAACTTAATGATCTCACGTCCCGGTTCATCGCTTATATTGTGTATTGCGATAGCTGTACACAGGCGAGATGGCATCTTCAAGCATATTCGTACCATGAAATAGATTTCCATAGAATTTAACAAAGGCATAACTCAAATACGGAGATCTTGGCCAAGAATATCGAAACTAATGGACAATCAATCTATACCTTCCTGCCTTTCGAGTTTTTGCAGTCTAGTGTCATACTGTCATTTTATTTTAATGCCTGATATTTCAACAATGGGCTTTATTCCAAATCCAAATGCAAAGTATTCTCTAATCCATTTTCAGCCATTTTGATCGTTGAATAAGATCTAGAAGTTCCATTAAAATCTGAAACCATTCAATACACTTTCGTATTTTTACTAATACAACACTCTTTCCAATATTAGATTAGGCATATATTGGTGCCTCACAAAGAATTATTCCAAAAAAAAGAGTGAGAAAGCAAAAATATGTGCAGTTTTCGAAAATGTTGTAAAAAATTATTTTTTCATATACGAAATAACCTAAAAATAGTAGTAGTAGTTGTATTAATATCTGTACGTACGTGTATATATCCTCTGATGCGCGTTCGTAAATCCTTTAAGAAAACCATATTCATTGTAATGGACGTCATAATTCCAATTTAATCACAGCAATTGGTATTGTAAAAATTATTTTTTAGCTTTAAACGTAATAAACACAGCACTTTGGACATAATTGTATGGTTTAACTATAGCTTTGGAGGATATTTTATATTTTTAGTATTGGCTAGTAAATGTTTTATATTTCTAAACGGAATAAATAAATTTTACATAAAAAACATAATTTGACTTGACTTGACTGTCCAGCACTGATAGTAATTTTTTCAACTTCTCACATTTCTATGTATACGCCAGTAGGTTTGTGCGTAAATTATATACACTGACCACTTGATGTTTTTCAACGTCTTCCGCAACGCGAATTTTCGCCAATCGCAAGTGTTGTTGTCGCCACAAATTAACAAACTGTACAGTAATGTACGTGCTAAGATTTAAAACTACAACAAATGACGTATTTGAACGCTTCATTATTTTTATTTAACCATAAAGTTGTAATAAGAATTGTCCAAAGCAAATACTAAATGGGAAATTACGCGCAACAATGATTCCGCCAGCTTCGAAAAAACACACAAAACGAAGTGTGAAAACGCTTACGAAGCGCAAATTGTAATAATGGCGTGGGCAGACACCCAAAATAATACGCGAATGTACTGAAATATTGAAATTCGTTGGCGAAAGTACGAACAACAAATGGGAAGGGAAAAAAGAAAACAAAAATATTGAGAAAAACCCAATTGACGAATTTAACAGCGCAGAAAAGGCGAAATTAAGGAAAATAAAACATAAACAAATCTATTGACGTTCGTAAAGTGTCGATTTGGTAGGAAAACATTTTCGGGCGACATTGAGTCTTAAAGCTATACGAGCACTTCGCGGACAAATTGGCGAATTCACCAGCCGAAAACAAGAAAATAAATACAAATAATAACAAGAAAAAGACACATTGGAAAGGCGAACATGTGGACGTGATTAAAATAGAAATATTATAATAAAAATCAAACGCGACAAATATCGAGCGCATTGAATAATATACATCTAATAATGTCTATAATTTTTGTCGTATTAAAAATAAGATGGTCTTTCTACACATGGAGTCTAATCTTAACACACATAAACAGGCAAGTCCCGAATATGCGAAAAGAGTCCATGCAACTCATTACACTCTCGAGGAATTATTCGGCTGAGAACCATAGTTGGTCACAATGCATAGATCGCAAGCACTTTTTAACTATCTTTTTACTTATTGCACTATTTATCCACTGGCTTTGGAAAAACAGAAGGTTGTTAGTACACAGAAGACCATTGTCACATTTTTCATCTCTTGAGAACACCAAAATACAAACCTGAAAGAAAACAAGAAAATTGTATTTTTAGTAAGTAAATAACAATGATTATTAAGCTGAATTTCAAAGATAAAAAACAAAACAAAAAAAATTAGTTTTGGCTGCTATGATACCCTTCACAGGCGCATTTCCTATAGCATTAAATTATATAAAAATATCATTATCTTGGTTTTAAGTGGTCAGTTTGTTTTGCAGCTGTAAGCCATAGTTGTCCGATCTGGGCAATACTCCATGTGTTGTGAAGATAGCTTGTCAAATAAAAGAGTTTTTCATACAAGGACTTTATTTTGATCGGATAGTTTGTGTGGCAGCTATATCCTATAGAGGTCCGACAAACGAGCAATTGTTGGGTGACAAAAGGACTGACGACAATAATGTGATACCTACCTATTTAATAACGGTTTGTGCCTAGTTTTCTATTTCACGTTGAGTTTTAATCGAAGTATCTACTTTTGCTTCATGTACGTTAGTCGAAAAATTTTTTTTACATTAAGCTGCAATAAAGCTTGCTCTTCTAATATTGTTTATTATAATTTACTCAGCCAAATGAAATCAAACTGAAAATACTAAAAAAAACACTACTAATTCATATGCAAATTTCATAACAGTCTGAAACAACAGTTAATAGTCATTGGTGCTTGTACAACAAAAACAGAAAATCACAAAGAAATATATTACAAAAGGCTTACGAGTTTTCACTCCATATCTTTATGGAATTGTATGTAGTCCGTTTCAAGCGAAGGGTCAAAAATTTTATAATCTCAAAATGTGTCACAAAATTTCCCAACAACAAAAAAAAGTCGCCTCAAACTATTAACAGCAACCTGTTCGCACTAACTCTAACCGTAACAGTGAGTTAGTAGAGAACGTTAACGTAACGGTAACAGTATACAAGTTATCATATAATGTTGCATAAATTAAGTTTTTGTTTACTGATTTCAAGTTGTTGTTGTTGTTTCTTTTTATTCGCTTCTTCCACCGGCTGTAGGTTGTGTTGCAACGTTCATATGAGACGAACGCTGGTTTTTTGAGACGCCTGAAGCGTTTGATGAGCATTGTTACATGTGATGGAATCTTTTCGGAGGAGAATAGGTAAGCAGAGTAGAATGTTGGTCAATATGGATGGGAAAATGTTGCCCAACGTTAATGCACTTGCAAGCTCGTAATTCAGTTGTTTCAAGCGAAACAGTAAATCTGGTGTACACAAAAGTAATATAAATGTCTGCAGATAATTTATCGACTTTGACGACGAAATAATACTCGTAGCATTGCAATTCTTATGGGAACCTCTTCAATTTCTATTTTCGCTGTCAAAAGCATCTCTAGAATCGACAACGAGATGGTGTGACGATTCTCGTTTCACGGCTCTTTTCCAATATTTGGGGCATGGTGAATATCTGGTCGGTTGTTAATTTTCCAGGTCTAAAGCCACACTAATAAGGYCCAATCAGTTTGTTGACGGGGGTTTTAATCTTTCATACAATACACTCGATATAACCTTATACACGATGTTGAGGAAGCTTATCCCACGGTAGTGTACGCAGATTGTGTCTCCCTTTTTGTAGATTGGGCAGGGCACACTTAAATTCTAATCGTCCAAAGAATATGATGATCGATGACTAGATCACCGTAAAACTTATACGACTGAGTAAACTGACGTTGAGCAGCACTAAAAGCTCCATTGGGATCGGGAAGCGCCACTCCGAACCGTTTGATATCAAACATGGTTTTAGAAAAGGCGATTCCCTGTCGTGCGACTTCTTCAATTTGCTGCTGAAAAAATAATTCGAGCTGCAGATCTTAATCGACTTGATACAATCTTCTATAAGAGCTTTCACAAAAAACAAAAAGGAAGCAAAGCAAATGGATCAGGCAGTGAACGAAGGCAAGACGAAAATCTCCTGTCATCAATTAGACAGTTATCGCACTCCCAAGGCTCCCACGTCACTATTGCCCGTCATAACTCCGAAGTCGAAGATAATTTCGTCTATCTTAGAACCAGTATTAACACCACCAATGCAGAATAATTCTTGCCAACAGGTGCAACTTTGGACTGAGTAGGCAATTGAGAAGTCAAATCCTCCCTCTACGTACAAAAACCAAACTCTTTAAGTCACTCATTATTCCCATCCTGCTATGACAACATCTGATGAGACTATGTTACCAGTTTTTGAGAGAAAAGGTCACACTTGTTCACATGGTATAAACTTGTTTAACTCAATGTGCATGTCAATCGTTTCACGTTATTTAATGTTTTTAAAGCAATGTGCTTTACGTGAGTAAAGAAAGAGGATGTTCTTCGCAATATAGGACTCTTCCGTCGGATAAAAAATCGGATCCGTTCCGGTTATTTAGGTCCGACAGTCGTGGGAATGGAGATTCAAATACACTGTTAACACCTGGATATTTAGATAGCAGAAACTACCAAGCAACAATAAAAATCTTCTTGGCTTTCTCCAACACACATACATATGTATATTTAAAGTAGGTGCATATGTCATGGAAATGTGTGACAAGCAAACTTATTTGAGTGCAAGAGGTGTTATCTATCAAGCGCAAGCCAAAGCGCGGTGAAAAGTGCAAGCAACGATCTAAATATTCCGAGAATGTGCCCAATTCCACTGCGCCAGTTGTTGTTGGCATGTCGTATGTAATACGCATGTAGTGGATACGTGTGTATGTAAGTGTGCGCCCATTGCCTACTTGCGATGAGCTTATTTTGCACGTTGGCATGCAAGGTGTCCGGATCGGCAGAGAATAAATTTAAGACCAAAATATGTATACACTGTCAAACACTACACACACACTCACATACACACATTTACACGTGAATTGATTATTCGTAAATATTTGACAGTCCAAAGCAATAAACAAGCAATAAAGCCGAAAAGGAAGGCGAAAAACGATGGGTGTGCATTTTGCTTAATCTATAAATGGCGCTTACTTTTTATCTTTTTTGCGCTCTGCGGCCGCGAACGAGTTTTTCATCACTATCGCACAGCGCTTAATAAAGCGAAACTTTTCCTCAAAGTGGTGGACTCGTTGCACTAGTCGAAAATATTATGAACACGATTCGGCTCAATCACGAAATTGCACGCGTGGGCGTGTGCCAACACGGCTGCCGCTGTAGCGGCGCGTAGACGCGTTCTGTGACAACAGTTGACCATGAACTTTGCGCATTTTTATTTCCCGATAGGAGCTCGCGTTCGCCGCTCTCCGAATCAAATGCATTTTCGTACTTTTCATTGCTTCACAAGTGACACACTTCACCGTGGGCCGTAATGCAGAATGCGCGCAGCACTTGCGTTTGTATTGGTGCGGATGCACGCATGTAGTTGTACGTGTGTTCGCGTCGATTTTTAAGGTATTCTATTAAGAGTTTACGACCGTACGGCGCTATGCGTCATCAGGAGCGCTTAAGGAGGCGTAGAATGACAACAACTACACATATGCATGTGTGTCGCTTTCGTGAATAATTTCTTGCAGATAGCAACAACACCACCAAATAATAAAAGTAAATAGTAGACACAACTTTCACGACGACGAAGATGACGGCAACAACAACTGCGCTCGCACTACAAACATTAACCGCGAAGCGAGCGTCCAGCCGATATGTGGCTGCAATGTTTCAAGATTTCGTACCGAATGAAAGCCCAATATGTACGCTGCAAGTGCCGCCAACCGACGACCGGCTTCGAACGCTTCACGAGACCAACTAAATTCCAAGTCAACAACAAAAAGCCTGAGTAATGCTAACAGTCACACAATCGTGCTTGCGTGTACCTCCAAGCAGAGTCTACCACAGCACACCAGTGGACAAACGCTTACCTCGCACACACATATGTATGTATATATATCCAGCGGAAGAAAGAAAACACCAACAAAGGCAAAGACAAAGCAGACAGTGTGAAATGAGGAAAGCAAGAAAGAGCAGTGAAAACTAGCAAACAGCCAAAAACAATAAATTTAGACTCTGAGCACGTCTTCCAGCCAAGCTGAGCTACAAGCGCACTAGAAACAATAGTGCCGTCACTCAGACAGAGCGGAGCTCCAAAGCAAGACGTGCACTGTTTCGGTATGGCATAGAAGTAAGAGAGCAAATAACGATGTTAAAGGTATTTTACGTATGCAGACGCTCGCAAGAGTCTTGGGCCACAATGTGATAAGCCATTGTTTTTGTGGTAGCCCTTACGCTGCTGCATTAAGGGATATTTATAGATAAAGAAAGACAGAATGATTGCGGCAGAGAAGTGAATGGGTTTATATTTAAAGGCATCGGAATTCTGAGTGCCGCATTAAAATAAAAACGATTCTAAAGTGGAATGTCATATTTTAGGAGCCTACTTTAATAAGGACCAATAAAATATAAATAGTCATATTTTTTTCGACGTTTGCACAAGTCTTACAAATAGGTATTATATGCTGAAAACCCAAAAAATGGTACTCTCGACGGAAAAGTTCAGGAGGAATAATCTCGCTTTGAAAAACAGAGTTCTTACAAAAATTTAAGGTGATCTTTTTTGATCTTAAAACACTTTATCCCAGTGTGTTATATTACAGTCGCCTTGAAAATTATGGACTTCCTGGTAAGGACGCTAGGACTTCTTTTCTTAAGCTCTCATCATTGTCGTGATAGACAACATTATTAGAAGCGACACATTTAAAACGACACAGAGTATTAATATTAATTTTTCTTTTTATTTCTGTTACAAAAAAGCCGCATTATTTACAAAAACAAAACACAATAACAATAATATTAGCTCTTAACACCTGCAACCACGTCGGCGATACGCTCCAAGCTTTTAGAATTTAGTGACATGAAGTTTTATTGCCGGTTTATTGTACTTTCACAGCGCGCTCAAAGAATTTCTTCAGAATGCTGATGAAACTGCGGACGCGTGCCACAAGAGAAGTAATAATTGCATGGCGTTGCATTCCGATAGATCAAAAGAGCCCACACTTGAGACATACCCAGTAGAGATAGCTAAAATTAAGAACAAATTGGATGTGGAATTTAATGGTTTCCTTAACGGTAAAAAAAAATATAATTTTTGTATGGCGGATGCATATCCTCTCGCAATACTTAATTAGGGCTAATCGTATACTAGTTTAGAGAACCTAGGAAATGCCTAACACTTACAGCCGAGAGCTATGTTGCCTCTCGAGGATCTGATGAACAAATAATGGATGGAAAAAACCCTTATTAATTTAAGAAAACCTCAATATTCCACCAGGGTTTTACAAGTGGTAGATGATGTGTAAGTGCTTTTATTATTTTCTTTATTGTTACAGTTGTATTTGTTAATATTTTTTATCATAGTTGTAGTGTGTCATACCGCAAGTAATTCTCGGAAAACAACAGCTACTTGGTACCCCGGTATACGTACATGTGCGTGTGGAGGCATGGCCCACTGGAGCCTCTACTGCAGCCAGAGTGTCACTAAGCTTCCATGTGCCTTGGTTTGTGTGTTCGCCGCACAAAGCCATGAACGAGTTATTGTACGAGCATAAACTTTAATCATTCATCACGCGACTGAATGGTTAATTCCACGCTGTTGTTGTTGTAATGTTGCAGTTGCATTTTCCATGCTTAAACAGCGGAACACACATCGGTTCAAAGTGATACGGCAAATGTATGTACATACATTTCATTTGTCAACTTGTGGATATGCCAATTAAAAGAGCTCATAGAAATTTATAAAGATGTCATAAACGATGATATTCACGACCCACATAAATATCAGCTTGTTTTCGTTTTTCTACCTCCTTTTTCCGCAGCAGAAACTGTCAGCGCAATTAAAATAAACCACCTGGATAACTTCCAAATTAATAAATACTTCGTGATAACGCCACGAACTATATATTTGGATATTATTGGAACTCTATATGAATAGATGATAGAATAGATCTTCGGATACCATTCATAGAATAGTTAAGTTTTGAATATAAACACGAGATCCTTAAAAAAGCAAATTACTTCGGACTTACAAGCTCATCCCAATGAGGAATACACCATAACCGGGTTTTCTGAAACTATAGGAAGCTTGGAAAACAAGGAAAAAATAGTATTACTTTAGCTAAATGCAGGTAATGATCGAACGATCATAGTCAAAATTTTGGATTTTGATAAGATGGTTGCTCCTAAAAAGATCGTTTTATACTTCAGAGTTGCTCAAAGTCTTTTTCCTTCCACCATTACTTCAAAAATATATCTTATGAGGGTCGTATGAAAAGTCAACTGACCGAGTCTGACAACTGCGATACGAGTGAGAAAATGAGCGTTTGGAAGCCAATTACATTAAGTTAAAAAATTTTACTAATACGCTCATATTTCCGAAACTATTCAACGGATCAACTTCAAATTTTCGGAAAATATTGCGTAGTCGAAAAATTCTTTTCGTATTTTGTCAATATAGGTCTTTGCAGTTGTATATCTCCAGTGCTACCAATCACATTGTGTCATACCAAATAGTGTTGGAAAGGTGAGATTTTAATCTTTATTTAACCAAAAAATTAATTAAATTCGGTGAAGTTAAAAAAAAAAAGTTACAGCTGTTCAAAACTGGTTGAAAATAATGAAGAAGTTTGCTATATTTTGAAAAGGAAAGAATGCCACACAAGCCAATGGATGAAATTCGTGAAGCACAATAATGGTTCGCTCGCTTCCGTTCTGGAAATTTCGATAACTAACCATCACATCACTATAGAACATTCATAATCAAACGGTTTTGAACCATGGCTACAAAAAAAGTTCACATGTATTGTCTGACCTTGCACCATCGGACTATGATTTGTTTCAGAACTCCCTTAATGGAGTAAATTTGATTTCAAGAGAAGACTATGAAAATAATGTCTCCAACGGAAAACAAAGTTGGTCGACAAAAAGGGTACATATTTGGTATTTGCTAACACGAAAATACTTTTTCGACTACTCTATATTTATATACCACTTTTACATTATAAGCCTCTCGCGTACCTAAATGTAAACTTAAGCTCTCCTGAAGAGCGTACATACTCTGTTCCATAACCGCCTGAGAGCCGGAACGCCGGTAACTGACCAACATTTTTTCTGCATAAATCGATGAAATGTACAAAAATGGAAACGAGACCTCTAAGCCGATTTAGCACTGTACCGCCATTTCGCTATTTGACAGACATTTTTACTTTCATTTGAACTGTGTGAAAAATTCGAAAACGAAATAAAGAAGCCTCGAGCTTCGCTTCGCACAGCTCAGTGTATGTGCTTGTTGCAACGGGTGCAATAGCTTAGGAGGGCAGTGCACAATTCTATTAATTCTACCCTCATTAGCGTAAAGCCTACGAGAAGCCATACGTGGTTTGACTTATAGATGATGACAGCAGGCAATTCTTCTTCGCTAATCGAAATGTGTGGTGAAATGGCGGGCAGTCAGAAGGTGGAAGCGATGTTGCCAATGCACCACTAAGCCGGTCTGAAGGAGGTTAATCATGGCAGTTCAGGGGGGAGTTCCTTCAACTCTTGTGGCGCACACAAATGAATTATTTGTTTTTTAGAGAAAATTTTGCCAGTAAAAGTGAATGCGGCTAATTGAGAATTTTAATGAAAAAGAAATGCAACAAAAATCATTTAAGCCAAACACAAATTATTACATACTTACATACAAACATACGTAATTGCACAAATATTTAAGCGCGTGTTTTTTGCTCATGTGTATATCTTTAAGTGTGCTGTCGGAATTATTAAAAAAAAAACGAAATTTATGAAATGCTGCCGCAGCAGACCAAAGAAATCAAGCTTCATGCAAAATTAATTACACTCATGGCGATTTTTAAAGAGGCAAGCCAAAAGAAAAACACTTACAACACCAACGCGCAAGTTGCAATTCGAGTGACAATCGCCATTTTATTTTATTATGCCCAACGTCAATGTATTTTATGCGTATTCTGCAATAGTTTTCAAAGTTCGACGCTTCTGTATTTTAGTGTAGTGTATAAAAAACAAAAAGCTACATATAATCTCAGAGCGAACATCCTTGGAGAGTGCTTCTCCAAGAGTTTTGATCAAACAGGTGACTATAGCACCTTTTGACCTATAATTAATTAATATACGGGTGATTCGGTCGAATTTTTTCAAGTTAATTTTTGTGTTATAGTCCCAATTAAATTCACAATAAACTGATTTTTTTCCAAAACCGTCCTTATAGTTCCATTTGTATCAAATTCGACGCTACAACGATAGATGGCGCGATGGTCGAGTCATTGTCACGCTGCTGAAAAATTTAGTGTACTCGATGCCAAACCGTATTTTTGAAGTTATAAATAAAAATGGAGGACCAATAAATTATTAAAAATTAAATAAATGTAGCCCTATTAAAAATTAAGTTGATGCGTTTAAACGAATATGTGCCTGTTTTTGCTATTTGATTTAAAATGCAACRATTTAAATATAACAACAACAACAAAAGTGGGGATTTGCACTCAATACGAATTTCCGTTAGTTTAACAAACAATATGAGAGAGAATTTGTTGTAATTAGTGCAATGAAAAGAAAGAGAGAAGTTAGCAAAATTAAAACTAAGAGTGCGTTTATACGTATATGTGTCACTGTATATTATGAAATAGCAAAATATCCCGAGGAAATATGGCAATATTTTTTCATAAACAAAAATTACAGGCGCTCCTATACCTTAGCTCCCCTACCGGTTTTGCAAAGAAACTC